CTTCAAAGATTGTATTGAATTACCACTACTCATCTTGACAATCTTTATATGTTGAAATAGTTTCAAAGGCGCCTACTTTTTCTTTACATACATTCAAAATTTTCCTGGTACTGCTAATGGAGAAGCAAAGCACGTGTCTTGAACCAAACATTTATACCTACATCTCTGTTTGAAAATAAAGTCTTTTAGGTTAGTCAGACTTTTGAATTTTTGATCAGGCAACATATAAGGAATAATGTGCCAAAACTAGGCACAAGATGGATAGAAAGTGCACAAAGAAAGTACACACTGATCATGACAATACATTATGTTAGAGCTGAACTTTAACACCAAAAGACTTACTTAAAACTGCCAGATGTGAAAACCGCTTTTCACTTCTAGACTGTAGTACACTTACAAACTCTCATGCACTTTAATATACACAAAATAGTTCTGAAAAAGTAATTGCAAGCTAGTTCAGATTTGGGGGGGGGGGGGGGGGGTATAGCTACACTCACATAGCACTCCCATTGAGATATAAAACCCTAAAATAAACAACCCCACTCCAGAAGTTTAGAAGGACACAACCAACTCATAGAATCATGATTTGTACTACCAAAATAAAGTGGATAGAATTTGTTGCTTGGAATTTTCATAACTCAGATTTGTTTTCTCCAAACATTTTTTCCCAATTATTAGTTTGCCTATATGCATATTACTGTGCTTAACAAAGACATCACTGATCATGAAACATGCATGCTAGGAAATGCATGAACAGGAGATAATGGACCACAAAAAACAGCTTTGCAAACACCAGGAATGTATATTGCATATTGCACGTCTCATGTAACTATTTTAGAGTGTCCTCTATTCTATTAAGCTTTCTGAAAAGGCAGACAATTATTAATTCTACAAAAACGCTGCAATTGCTTTTGACATATGCTTCCTTAGCCATGGAAGAAGAATGCAAGAAGAAATCAATGGGGAAAAATTGCTGGGAGAAGCAAAATTGCCTTAGGGATTTTGTTTTATGTAATACAATGATCTAGAAATTCTATTTATAAGGAACACAGGGTATTTATAGCCATTATTTTGGGTGACTTCTTGCAGTCTGCGACGTTAAAATTTCACTTGTCTGAGAAGGGAACAAATCTTTAGTGAAATCTTGCTCTTCTTCAATGGCATTATGCTTACAGAACAGTAAATACAGTGTGAAAGAGGTAAAATAACCCCAAGCTTTGTGCTCCTTTTGCAAGGTTATAAAACTTCCTTTATCATTGCAAATTTATTACACTAAGGTTCAGTATACACTTGCAGACTGGAGTTTTGCATTAGGAGACAGAATGAAGGGCCACAAAAACATCACTTGTGACAGCTTGTTTCTATGACTGTTTAAATTGTCACCCAGACCTTGGGATAGTTTAGAGTTGTCTCAGGACTTCCATGAACCTTCAAGAGTCAAGTCTCCTAGCAAGGGATTTTCAAACAACAGAGGATCTCTGCAAATATATTCTTCTTGCTTATTCAGACTATGATAGGAATGAGTAAACTCAAGAGGAAAAGACTGTCAGAGGCTCTATTTCCACTATCCTCAGTCTCCCATCTCACCCCATACCAGAGGATATGTCAACTGATATGGCACGCTGCAAAATGTTTACACGGTTGTGGAACAAGGGCTGGGATGCAAGTCCCTCATTAGTCAGTTATCTCACTGAAAGATATTGACAGGGGATGTTTTGCAAGACAGATGAGCTGCATGTGTAGAAACAAACAAGTAGCACAGTCTGTTTTCAAGCTCCATTCTAACCTACTTTTAACCCCAAATTATTTTCTTTAATATGTAGGAAATAATATGCCAGTATAATATAAAACAAGACAAAAATGTTTATTCATAGAGCTTTTGTATGCCTCAATTACCACAGCTCTTCCTGCGCACAGGCCAGCTAATACAATATGTACTGTCTTCTAGGTTTTGTTGCTGATTTCTGATATTAAATATGTCAAAATTTTGTATCTCAGCAACAGAAGTTAGTAATGTAGGTCTGATGCATAGCAATTAAGGTCGAACAACAGTGTATAACAGTAGTATCTTGGTAAACCAATTAATATGTTTATGGCTAATGATAAAAAATATGAAAGATTAGGCAAGAGTGATGGCAGTCAATGGTACAGCATATCTTTGGTGAGGACTATTCATAATCATTAAAAACATATTTGCAGGCTACTTCTCAAGTCAAAATAGATCTCTTTTGTTCTATTTCTTTGCCTTAAAGCCTGAATAGATAGCAGTGCCTGAGTGCAGAGGGTACATATGGGGATGCTTAAATTTAAACCTTGCTCCTCACTTTTTGGTACAGTTGTCTTACCAGGCTGTTTCTGGGCCCCATATATTTCTGTTTCCAAATTTCCTGAGACAAAGCAAAATCCACTATCTTTACCTTTCCCAAAGGCCCCTGTGGCAATTACAAGCCTTCTCTTGAAGACTCACATTTAGCTTTGACACCAATAGCCTTGACTTTGGAAAACCAGATTCTAGTTCCTCATTTCAAATACCAGAGAAAGAAACTGAGAAAGACAAAATGTCAGTATCCTAGCCTGGCTCAGTTACCTGTTCGTATTTCAATGCTCTTTCATGTTGGAGTCCTTACATGTTTGGGACTGCTTTGCAGGGTTTTTTTTGCTGAATAATGGAATACGTATTTTGCTTCAGACCCCAGTGTCCAGTTTATTCTCTATTTCATTTTTTCTGCCTCTCCTTTTTGAAAATGGCTGCTGAAAATCCTTTTTAATTTACTTCTCTACTTTCTCTTGAAAACCTATCCCTCCTATCCCCCTTGATCCATCTCATCAGTTAATTAAAATCCCCATCTATTTAACAGTTGATAGCTACCCTTATACTGCAATTCCGACCCAAACGATTGGTCTGTTTTGTGCAGTAGACAACTATTTCTCTGCAAGGGCTTTTGGGTGAATAACAGACCACTGATGTTAGATGTAAATTCTGTTGACAGCAATATGCTATCAACTGTGAACTTTATCCAAAGACAGAGGTTCAAATACCCTCCAAAAGACTCTACATGTCTTACGCATAGCTTAAACGATGACATCTATATTCATAGAGAACCTCCTGGTTCACATTACCATCCTTATTTCTTGCTTACCAGCTTCAACAAGAAACCTAAGCTGTACATGTAAGCATTTCAAGGCTCCTTTTGCAGCCTTAATTGGGATGGACAAAAGGGACATTCTTCCTCTTGGCCTTTCTTTGAGCTTATAAATCATTGTGTAAACTCGTGAGGAAGCCCAGAGCTCTGAAGTGGATGTTCTTGGATTCCATAAAGAGTTCACATTAAAAAAGGCCAGGTTTGGGAGAAAACTCACCATAGTTTAACTTTCTGAATAGAAAAAACTCAAAATGACTTCAGAAAATGAAGCAGAAATAAACAGTTTTCCTAACTGTCTTGGTATCCTTGCAGGGGGATCCTTACCTGCAGCCAGCTTTGTCTCTGGCAACTGACTTTAGTGTTTAGACCCTCACCATCATCTGTAACAAATCTTCCTTGAGGTTATCATTTGTCAGGGTGCAAAGAAAGATTTAAAGACACATATTTTTCACTCTGTTCCATTACAGATTCTGAGGAAGGGCCTTAATGTTACCAAAATTTGGCTTGCAGACCAGCCTCTTGCTTCTAATTTCAGCATTAGTGAATTGTAACCCGTAATGTTCAAAGATGTCACGTAATTCAAAACAAAGGGTGAGGTTACACTCAAGGCTGCAGATTTTGTCTCTAACCAGCACAGCACAGAGTCCATAAAAGGAAACAGAACAGTTTGCTAAACCAGGCAATACATCAATCCTCTATGCTATGTACACTTTATTTACAGGGCATTTGCAGATTCAGAATGATGATGAATGAAGCTGCAAACCAGTTTGATTTTCATCACTTCAAAGCAGAGAGCAGAGTGAGAATCATTTGTGATTTTTAACCAAACCCTAATAATTAATCCAGAAGAATTTCCTGGTTTTTACTCAGTTTTGTTTCTTATTACTGTCCCACCTTCTGCTTTATTTCCTAGACCTATGTCTGCTCAGTGAGTCTGGGGATTACTCTGTTTTACATGCACCACTGCATGGACAGATAGGAAGTTTGACCAAGGTCGACAGATGCTAACCTACTCATAGAAGACAGGCTACTGCAAATTCCTAGTTCAGCAAACAATTATTCTTCCACGGTATCAGTTTGGGCAACACCAAAACTGCAATAAAAAGTGCATTTTCCACAAGAAAGACAAGGGCAAGAGCATGATAATATTTTATAAATATAGGTATTTTCTCTTTTCTCATAGCCTGCATGGAGTCACTTAGTACAAACATCAGTTAGTTACATCTTTTATTTAGATATTTCTCTCTACATATTTCTATTTCCCTCAAAGCTTGATTATCGTAAAGTACCTGTTTTTTTCTACTGCCCAAAAAAGTCACTGATCAAAAAAATACAATCTGACCTCCTAGCAAAAACATTTTCATGTGTCATGTGGTTTTGTTTTCCAGAAATCCACCATTATTTAAGCATTCACTCTTCTTAAAAATAATTTTATGAGCAAACAAAAAGATTTCTATATTTCTTTTCATTGTGTAGCTTAACACCTATAAGCAAGGTCTTACTTATAAAGAAAGTTGGTGTTTATAGAATAATGATTTGCCCAAGATCCCATTCATTTTTGCTGAGTGCAAGGAGAAGGTCAAAGCACATTTAGATTGTCATTTGCACAGTTCAGTTTCTTACTATAACTACTCAGCAACTTCTTAAACCAAGTAAAGCAAAGAATTCTGGAATGGACATAGTCTATGCAATGAAGTCATTGTTCCTAAGCCATGGTGCTATATTTAAATTGTTTACTGAGCTACAGTATCCCATTCTGGTGTGAAGGACAATTCAGTCACTGATGGAAAAATGAAAAATCATATTGTACAATATCCATTGTTTCCCACACACGAGTAGAAAAATGTATGCTCTTACCCCACAGCCTATTCCATTGCCTGGTTCACATACAATTTTCTTCACTCCTGGTTCAGGAAGCAAACCTGCTCCACAGCCGGGAGTTGGACACAGCACTCCTCCCATCTGCAGCACGCATTCCTCAGCCCCATAGCGCTGGTAGCGGTTGTACTACAATACAACACACCAGTGTTAAACTTCCAACAACACACAAATATACACCCCACTCCCAAACCTTTGAGCTTGAATCTACCCCACATAACCAAGTCAACCATCCAGATGTTAACCGTACATTCTGTGACTCCATGTCTTACATGCTAAGTTCAGTTATTTGCAGAAAGTGTAAAATTTCACAGTGTTGTTAAATGGGGTGTCACTCTGAGCTGACTCACATCATACACATCCTTTTTGTGACTCACAAATATCATTTGCACTACCAGAAAATTGTGGGGGATATTAAAATCGAGAAAATAATAGACTGTTTCTGTAAGTAACCTCAAGAACTCTTACACTGTTACAAAAAAAATACTGTAAGCATCATAAATGTAATCCAACAGCAGATACTGATAAATGCTGAATAGAGACTGAAAAGAAATTCTCAAAACCCCTCAAGGATCTATAGCTAGAAGTATCACATAATGATTTACAGCTAAAGTGTAGTAAAAATCGTGCAGCCAATTTTATTTTCAAAATAGATTTCATGAAACTGATTGGCAAAATAATTCTCTGACACACATTTATTTCAATGTTAGGTGTAGGTTTTTTCCAGGGTCTCCCAAGAAATTTTCTTAGTTTCTGCAGTTTTCATCTAGTTCCACCCTGATAGCCTAAAAGGCTATGGAAATGCCTTCATTTCAATGACGGAGACACAGACACAGAGCAATATTAAATAACATGCTCGGTGTATCCTCACTAACAAAAAAGCCCACTCTGAAATGACTGATGCCATTGCAATAAATTTCCCTGGTCTAACTTACCCTGCTTTCAGCTGGAGATAAACTGAGCAAGTACAAATTATGCTGTGTACATGTAAATCACAATCACTCTAGGGTTCTGTGTTGGTGCAGTTCCACACTAATGGCTATATAACCATTGTAAACCAGGCTTCAGATTTGCCTATAAATCTGGCCTACTGTAAAGTGAAATAAATGAAAGCATTTGGTTCTAACAGCCCCAAAGAAAACAGGAAAATCCAAAGGCCAAAGAGGAAGGAAGTAGCATGAGTTTTCTCCGCGAGTGGAATGAATTTATGGCGGGCTAAAGGAACAAAATGGAGCTTTATGTTACAGCACTCACAGCAGTATTTAGTGCTTCATAAACTTTTATCTCATAACTGCTCATGAAAATCTTGTTCCTTTTTGGGGGCGATAACAAACAAAAAAGTCTTTCTTCAATCTGCAACACTCCCCAAAGAAATCCCACAAGGAAAACTCAAGGACCAAATATTAGGACCAAAACCTCATACGCAAAGCATACAAAGAAGCATTTTAAATCATAACACAGGGGCTCCACTGCATGTTTTCTGGGTACATTTGAGATTTTTCTGCAAATATTGCCATAACATATCCTGTTACACTGTCTTTTTAAAAATAGTATATGACATCTTAAACCGTTATAATATAGAGACACAAAAGTGCTCGATCACAGGAAGAAATAATTAACAAACTGAAGGTATCTGCCTTTGTCAATTTACAAAAAATCCAAACAAAAGGAGGACAAAATCTAAAAGGAGAGAAAGCCTTCAATATATCACTCAGTGTGTGAACAACAGACAGAAATCCTGAATTAAGGATCTCAGATCTAGAAAATAACAGTATTTTGAGAAATGTAGGATAAATGTCTGCAAAATCTCCTTGAATACAGGGGCTCAACAAGTTGACTAGTGTCTTTCTATGTTATTGTTATGCTCGAACATAGAGTAATGGCATAAATATTTAATGTTGGAGTCTACCAATTTTCAGCAAAGTTTGTAATCCTTGCACTAAATACATGCTGAGTGCTCCAAGTTGTTCTGCGCGCCTTGAACAGAAATATGGGTAACCACAGCTGCAAAATTCCCTGCTGACCTAATTTTTCTTCAAGGCAGACACTGGACCTGAAGGTGAGGATGGTGACTTACTGTGTTAAGAGGGAACATTGTGCTGGATGTGGGATTGTTAGCAGCTTCTCATTACGGCAGCAAACACCAGCGACATTGTAGCTGAGATTCTGTCAGCATTTCCATTATAAACTCTCAGTAGAAAAAAGGGATATGCTTTCCAGTCATTAACAAGGCAAAAAAGGACATGGAGAGATTTCTCCCATCTTGCCTCCTTTTTGTTGTTTTAATACACAAAAATGTAAGATAGATAAGCTGGGAATCAATCTGTCTTGTTAAAGAAAGTTACAGGAAAGAAATGTCCAGTCTATCTACTGGCAAACTGGACAAAGCCATTATATTCTGTCTAAAAATTTGACATTTTATACTGGTTCAGCACAGGACTTCTACCAAATCAGTAGAGCTTGTCATCAGTGTTTTTCACACTATAAAATCCCCCTAAAATGATCCCATTTCAACACAGGAAAAATCCTACTGAATGCATTTCCACATTTTGACATCTAGTTACCAGCCTGTTTTCTACCTTCAAAGTACAGATACATTTATAAGGTGTCATTTTCCAATTTCTTTTTCTTTGTGCCTGCACACTAGCTCACATAAAATCCAGCAACCAACTAAACCACATAGAGCAGAACGCATATACTTTTGCTGCCGTAACACAGTCATACATAACATACATGGATTTATATTCTTTATTCAGTGTCCTGAAACAAAATGACTCACTTTACATTAACGGTGCATTTATAAAAGGCTTGTAAAGGACCAAATCACTTATTAATTAATAATTAAATAATTGCATATAGTCACAAATTATGTCTATTAGAGGCATTCTTTTCCTATATATCACAGCTATACATATCACACAAGACTGATACAATCAACATGCTTATAGCAAGTCAATTTTCAAAAGCCCTTAAATGTCTTTGGAGCCCATGACGTATTTTTGATCATATGCCTGGATGAGATATTTAAGGATACTCAGCAGACAACCACCATCAATCCATTTAGTTTGGATTTCTGTGGTTGTGATGCCTATAGTTGTGCTGGTTGCTTGGACTCTTTTTATAATTAACAGGAGAGATAGGACGCAATTAATCTTTTTCTTTTAGATTTGTATGTGAGAACTAAGCACGGGAGTGCCCTGTTCTATTAACAATAAAGAGAGATCAGACAATTTTTTAGATACTGACACCTGAAATCAGGTGACTCCCACAACAGCTGTTTCAGTTCCAATAATCCTCATCCTAAATCATCTGGCCTAAACTATTTTTGAAAATAAGGTTTAAGAACCTAAGTAGCTTGGACTGTGAACCACTTCACACCATATTAGCTCTTCACACCTTAAACATCTAACCTAAATAAGTAATATAGGCTCCAAATACACTGAATGAGAAGAATCAAGACCCCAAGAAGGGAATAGGGAATTTATCACTGCTTACATGTGATGTCTAAGATAGGTAGGATGAATCTCCTTGTGGAAGTGCTATAGTTGAAGCTAAGAAAACTAACTTAGGCTTGATATCTGACACATAAAGAGCTGTCATTAAAGAGGAGTCTATGAAGTCTTCTGTATGTTCAAAATATTTCACAGTATTTATTAGTCAATTACTATCAATGTGCCTCCTATTTAGAGATACACTCATCATCATCACAGTGTAAAATGGTTCTTCATTCTACAAGAAGCTAAAATATCTCCAATTATTTTTAGGAAAAACTTCTTAAAAAGTTTAATATATGGGGAACTTGACTGAACTGGTATTCATGGCACCTGATTTCATTCCTGGCAGCAGCACAGCCTTCCTGTGGTTTTCACATAAGGTACTTAATCTATGCTTCTTATCAGTTGCCCACTTGTAAAGAGGGAGAATGATACTTGCTGATTTCATTGTAGTGTTAAGAGGCAAAAGCCATTAATAGTCATGAGAACATCAAATACTATGGCAATGAGGCTCATAAAATTACACAGATATCACCAGCCGTCTCCTGCTGCTAGAAAGTAGCTTTTGAGCAAAGCACGTCAGCAATTTATATGCTACTGTAATAAGGACCTCAGAAATACAGGTAGATAAGTAGTTGTTGGATTCACCATAGAACCATATATTTCAATGCTTATTTTTTGGGGGAAAAAAAAAAGACCTAAAAAATATGATTTACCCTGAATCAACAAGGCTAAGACAGTTAAAGGCATATGAACAAGATAAACATAAAACGTTCTGATTTTTTTTTTTAATCTTGTGAACTTTCCCCTCAATTTGTGAATTGTCCCAGTCAACCAAAGCTATACTTTTAATGGAATAAAATTCTAACTGGAAAAGATTCACAGCTCTACTTATGGTATTTCAACCATATAATGAAGTTCTTTTGCACAATCTGCTCATAAAGACTTGTCAGGGCCTTTAGAAAGTATTTTTATAAGTGATTATAAATTACAGTATGACACAGATATGGAGGCTATATAACTGTAATCATTTATTCCCTGTTCCCTATTTTCTAGATGGGGATGGTTTTTCTTGAGTCATAGAATGGCACCTACTTGGTTTTCAACCAGTGGAAATTCAATCACTTGATGTTGTAAATCAAGGGTAATATAAATGAAATAATTGGGCTGACAAAAGAATAAAACAGGTTTAACTATAGAATTCAGTCTTTTCAATTACATTGAGATTCAGATACTAAGCAAAATGGATATTCACCTGGATGCACAAAACTTGCAAAATGCTCTTTGTGAACACAGTGATTCCTTACCATACTATTTAATTTGCAATATGCTTTAATATCCAAGAATCGTAGAACAGTTTGGGTTAGAAGGGACCTTAAAAGATCATGTATTCCAACCTTCCCTGCCATAGCACATATGCCTTGTGCTATTTTGCTTGTGCCTTTACTCTTTGGGCACAGTTTTATTTTCCTTTTTTTTTTTTCCCCTCACACCTAAAGGCATCTGCTCAGTAGTAGCCTTGCAGGGAACTTTAGACAAAAGCTTAATAGTAGATGTACAGCCAAAATTTTTAATCTTTGAAAGGTAATTCAGTTACTTGTTTCTTTTAACTGCATGTAATAGTCTCAAATGAAA